CTGTCGCTATGGGTCATGACAAGTTGCTTGAACTTCCTACATGGGTTCTCTTGTGAGTGGGTGCAGCCTTACAATGCCGGTGGAACTCGTCCGAAGATACAGACGGGCCAATCTCTGAACCTTTATAACACCTAAGTAGGCCGTTTTTCGACCTAATAGTGTCAGATAAGGTATACGCGGCGGCCTCAGATTTTTTCTAGCGGAATACTCACAAACCATTTTTATCATGAACTGTGCCTTTAATGACTCCATCGCTGCTAATAAGTCCTCTAGTACTTTTAGCAGCAATCTAGATCTTGGCTCCAAGGTTACATTAATCAGTTCATAATCCTCGAAGGAAGCTGTACTGCACTAACTTTACTACAGCACCTCCGCGATACATTTTCTCTCGAAAGTTATAGAGCCAAGTAAAGAATAACCTGCAAGGTCATTCCGCTCACAGTTCCGAGAAATACGCAAAGAGATTAGCAATATTTTTTCACCTGTAAATACAGTTCGCCTTCCTTCCTTGAACTATGATTGACGAAGTTACCTACTCATTTCTCCCCATTGGAAAAGACAGAGCACATGAATCTGCCACTTATTCGGCATATTCCAACATCTTCTAGATACAGTCCAATGAGCTATTTTTTTACAATTAGGCGACTTCATCACACAAAACTATTTTGAGGAAATAAATAAAAAGAAAGGGCAGATATGTTAATGTGTAGGATCTATACAACTATATACAATATGCTTGCAGAAACTGTACGACTTCACAAGCAGGTCACCGCAATTCAACTCGAAGGTTTTTCCTGAGAGTAGAAAGCGAGTAACGCTGTTATTGACTATTTCAATTTTCGTCCCTTCATAGGAGCTTTCACACCATCATCAAACATGGCTCTTTTTCGGCTTTCTTCTTCAAGAGCGCTCAGAATTTGACTGGAAGCGCGACGACCATCTGGAAAATCATGCATTATTCTTACAATTAGTAGAAAGGGGTTTCATAAGACAGCTTTGGTGATACATTCGAAACCTATCGACAGTTGAGTTCGATACTGGGAAATATTACAATACTAAAGACTATATAAAAGTGGAAAGACACGACCAGTAACTCAGCAATTCACTGAACACAATTTCCACTGATATTTTATTTGTTGGAAAGCACCTGTGAATTGTCCTCCAGGAAGCGGTAAAGTTTCGTTGGAGTCGCATTCTGGTGTGATTGGCAAGAACCAAAGCGGACCAGTTTTGAGCGTCACATCAGGTAACAAAGCATTTATGTTGTCTTCCTGAAACATTACTTTCACTTCATCCAATGGCACTTATATAGCGTTTCTCCTCGAATGCACATAATAACAACCTCATCCGAACTGCAAAGTATTTCATTCGGTTTCAAGGACTCTATGTCGATGATCTCCTCGTCGGAATCCTGCAACAAAGAACTGTAATGTGTAGAAGATTTGGTGAGAAGATGAGATCCAACCTGAGAATTCGCTTTATCATCCACTTCGGCGTCTTCATCTTCTAGATCGAATTCTCCCTCTTTCTCTTCATACTTAGCATTTTCCTCAAGTTCTGTGAACTCAGGTGCGAAGGCAGACCAATTTTCGACGTGAGCCTCAAAACACAAAGAATTCATGAATGAGTAAAGCAACGCCACATGGGAAGAGTATTGCGTCGTTTCTTAATCGGGACTATGTTCACATCACTAACATACCTGTGTCCAGACAGATACTATGCCATTAGCCACCGAAAGTATAACAGGGCGTATAGGATGCCACTGGACATCCATCAAACACTCTCCCTGAAATTTAGAATTCATGCTGTGCTGTGGAAAAAATAAGACGGCTGAAACTGCAAGAAAAGAAGGATTATGAAGTTTTGCTGAAATCAAATACAATAGAATCAGAACACTAACTCTCTCATTATAGTTACCACATTCTCTACAAATACAAAAAGTTACTCGTATCGAAATCAATCGTCTATACATATTGGAATTGAGTAGACTTATTCAACCTTAGTTCCATGTAGTATCTTGATTAATGTGCCAGTAGTTCGCTCCCAAACATACAGCGAGTGAGCTTTTGTACTAGCACCACATATATAATAACCCTCACTATCTGTACAAACAGCCTTCCAAGAAGCCTAAATCAGTACATTTTAATAATTGCAATCGGGAACCATAGTTGCTTGACAAATTTCCAACGAATTGTTAAAATACCTTGTTGACAATGTCGGTGACACGATGCTTCGGCTCAATTGTGGAACCATTTTGGCAGTCCAGTATGTCATTCAAATCAAATGTGCGTATAATCCGATCTTGAGAATTTGTTATGATGAAATTTCCCCTTCTCGGAATGACTATTTGTTTAACCTGCAACAAAAACGCCTCTGCAACAATCAAAAGAGATTATCAAATCAACGCTTTACCTGTTGAACACTGTTCTGTCTTCCCCACGACACCATTTTCAAAGTCTTTGCATTGTACACAACAAGTTTTCCCTAAAGATGAAGCCTCGGCATAGATCCATTGTCGAATGCTTATTGTGTACTTAAACGAACACTCACTTTATTTGTGCCGGTTATGAGGTAGTTTGCCCTGCGATCAAACGCTATGGCAGAAACGCCATCTTCAACAGCGCCTGGGATATCGTTGGTAATTATTCGCTGAGACCGTGGCTCGAGTTCATCAAGGCATGGAGGATAATTAAGTTGTAAAACCAGAACTTGGTTGTCATTCCTAAAGCAATTGATTGAAGAAGCAACCTGAGAAATTGAGAAATTCAATATACGAGCACTTCAGCTGCAAGTAAACCAATGACAACTCTTCAATACTCCAAACTTAATCCAAGTTGTTTGAAAATATAGAATATGCTGAGAAAGGACATGCCTGGGGTTGAACACGGCAGAAGTAACCATAGCCGAATACTTCAACCTGTACATACAGGCTCCTTCAATTACG